AGCATCAGGCAAAATGAATATTGCCCCCCTTTTTTTTTTTGCCTTTTTTCTCTCAGCTTCCTTCTCTGCATTAACCCAGAATCTCTGGCTCATCTTCTCTCTGATGATGAGGCAAAGAAGACCATGTGCTGAGTTCACGCCATGTTGAATTTACGGTGACTATGAGCTGCCGACTGGGAAAAATTCCCCATGTCATCTTCTCAGTAATAATTGCAAGCAGGGTGTGGGAATAACTTTAAGAGGCTGCAATTCTTCACGCTGTCTCAAATTGAAGAAGTGTGACAGCACAAGCTGCAACTTTGAGCATCCTTATGGGAATTCGGTGATACTCAGCTTTTGGTCAACTCAATTCTGCTCAGCATTAATTTGGTCTCTTTATAATCTTATTGGTCCCTCTGCAACAGTCTGTTTCCCATGCCGCCCCTGTCATGAAAGGGCTGTGTGCAGGCAGGAAAAGGACCCAAAGTGCAGACACTCGGAGACAAAAGGTGAACTTAAATACAGCTTTAATGCTGAACTCCAAAAGAGTAACAAAACTAAGACTCCAAGGTAAACTTACACAAACAGAACACACAGCAAGATAAGGGTAGATCACAACACGGACACAGAGAAACACAGGGCTTAAATACACAGAGGGAGCAATCAGGGAATGGGTAACAGGAGGGAAACACAGCTGGGGCAAATCAGGCCTAACGAAACAGGGGAAGCAAAACCAGATACATTAACACAAGACATGGACCTTCAAAGTAAAACAGGAAACATAACACAGAGATGCAGACTTGACACGAGGATACGGAACTATGGAACAGAACAGAAACCAGCAGGCACAATTCTAACAAAGAAACCAAAAGACTAGAAATTATAAATAATATAATAAACTCAAAACTCCGGGTCAACGACCCAGGCATCCTAACAGCCCCTTGGGAAAATTAATTGCTCACTCTTGCCTTTGACTAACCTATTATTCAGCATGTCATGTTTTCTTAAACAACCTTTTAAGGTAGTACCATAAATTCCGGGAAACATTCATTTGTGTTTGTCCATGCAGGTATTATACAACTTCAGGTGTATCATCATGCCTGTCATACTCACCAAATGACTGACAGCTTACCAATACATTTATCACCCTCAATTCCAACCTCTTGAATCACTTTCCTCTGACTCTACATTACGGAAAAATAACTTAGTAACCAGTACCGTAGAATGTCCTGAGGATGGGTCATGGCCTGTCACGATGCTGAACTTCAACAAAAACAGGAGGGCAAACAGAGGTGCGATGGAAAGTTTTGTTCAGCGGTCATAAAATAATGTCACTTCTATGTTATGACTTACAGGGAATAGCAGATGATGGATTATTCCACTCAGTGACTGGCCTGTGAAATGGCATGTATGTGCATGTACTGGACTGTTTTTTGCCTCCTCTTGTTTATTATCTCCTCTTCGTCGCCTTTTCTTTGTTTCTGCTTTTCTGTCTTCTTGTTAGGCAGCATGCTGGCTTTGTGGTTGGCACTGCTTCCTTAAACAAAGAAAGTCCAGGTTTTGAGGACAAAGCAAAGCATTTCTATGGAGAGATAACACGCTCTCCTGTGTTTGTGCAGAGCTCCTCGGACAGATCCGGTTTATGCCACCTTTAAAGACTTTAATGTCTTAGGTGATCACTTCTTATGGTTTCCTTTAAACTGTTCTCTTAATTGTCTCAAATTGTGTGCTTTCATACTCATGCTCAGTATAAGTTAAAAACAATCAAATATGGCAATTTTCCACCAACAGCAGGACATGTTTACACTTCTGATGGTGATGCCAATGCTACAGATTATCTTCAGCCACTGATGTTACGTGTGTTCAAACAATTTCTAATAAGGATCACAAAGTGCTTAACAACAACAATCAGCAAATACAAACATTAAAACAATGATAATACCAAAAAGTTAAAAACAAGCCCACACAAGTAAGTAATGAGCTTATTTGTGGGCCAGTGGGCCAGATTTGAGTCTTTCCCAGGTTGATCCTAGCCCTCAGGCCTTATACACAACCCTGGTCTAGAACAAGGAACCACCAAGGTTTAGTCAGAAGAGCTTAATGATCTCCACGTTATACAGTATATATTGGTGCAAGAGTTTCTATTGAAGCCAGGCACTATGCAGACTATGCAGAGCTCTGAAAGTGAACAATGAGACCTTAAATTTAAATCTGAATTTTAGGGGGAGACAGTGCAATGAAGACAAAAGAGGTGTTACATGACACCACATAGAGGATCTAGTGAGTAGCCTGTCAGCTGCATTTTGGACCATTTGTAGGCGAGCCATAGATGACTTACTGAGGTAGTTGAAGAGGAAACAAAGCCATGAATAATCTCAATCACACTGTTTGGTGTTCATGCCTGATTTGTTGTCTTAAATGTTGAATATTTTAGCAGTATGTGTGTGTGTGGCCACGTTAAACAAGTTGCAGATGTTTGCAAAATGGAGTAACTAGCCAGACAATCATTGCTAAACATGCAGTCAAACATGTATTGGATTTAAAACAACAGTTCTCAGCTGGAATTTATGCTCTAAACAAATATGTTGTGTACTAATGGAAGAATCTGGATTGAGAGAGGGTTTGTTTCCCTGATACTTTTTGCTTGTTTGTCACTTCTTTTCCACGTTTTTTCCTTTGCTTCCCTCATTTCCTCTCTTAATTTCCCCCCTAATTTCCATTCCCTTGTCCTTTCCTTTATGCTCTTGTTGTTTGCTTTCCCCATCACTTCTTCCTCTCCTCCTTCTCATTTCCCTTTATCCTCCTTTCCTTGCAATATTCCTTATCCAAAATTATCATGATCTCTTTTCCTTTCACTTTCTCGTCTCTATTTCTTCTCCTCTGTGCATCATCTTCTCTCCTTTCCTTGTGTCTTTTCTTTGTCTCTCCTTTGTCTTTACCTTCCACTCACTTCTCCCTCTTCCTTTCCTCTCGTCTGTTGTGGGTCGTCTTTTAGAGAGGATGCCAAGTATCTACATGTGTAAATGCATGTGCACTGTACGCACATCTGCACAGCAGTCTTGTGTGTATTCAGACAAAATTTCCCCCTTGATCCTTTTATTTATATTCACCGATGCCAAAACAGCAGCACATTTTTCTTCTCAGCATGATTTCCCCTCTTTGCAAGCTAAGCTTACAAAATTAAGAAACACCAAATGAGCTCAAACAAACACACGATTTGTGCAGAGTCTTTCCATTTGCTCATTCAGGTTAGCACCTCTCCAACCGACAAATCTTTATTGTTAAGTTTTTAAATCAAAATCCAGCCAACTGACCTGACACCCGGGTGACATCGGGTCCTCCGCAGGCTGAAACAAGCTACCTACAGTTTCCATTGAGGGTCCTGAATCTGAGACAGACACGCAGGCACCAGAAAAGTCAGCTCAGCTCTGACCTTAGGACCCCTCAGGGTACAGCGCCATTCCCCGACATCTAAACCACCATTCAGTATCATCGCACAACTATCTGTTAAACTCATAGCTCTGAAGTCTGTCAAATTACACATAAGTGTACGTCTATTAAGCATCAATTAGATAAATTAGACTCATAAGAAGAGCCAAAAGAGCTTCTCTGTGTCTGAGAATAGGAGATAAGCATGACTGCTTCTATGTCAAAAGATGCATGTGTATGCTATCACAAGAAGCAGCAGAGGTGGGGGTAGAGATGACTTTTGCTATGAAATTCTCCCTTTCCCTTGATCTTTGGCTAGAATGTCTTATAAGTCTGTCCTCTAAATGTCTATCAAAGGCAGGATGTTACATTCCTGACAGATGAAAATTGGAAGGGCAAGGAAACATTGCATCTTATTTAGATACAGACAATAAAAGGCAAAGATCACAGCACATGTATGAATAAACCACATGGATGAAACGATGAACGACTATTAATGGCTTATTATAATAGCAAAATATTGGTATTTCTTAGAGAGCATCTGTGCTACTTATATGTAAGAACAGCAGCTAAAATAGTTGCTCAACATCACTTCTACACTTCAACCAGGAACACAGAGCGTGTCAGCTGGCCATCTTAAACAAAACTGAACAGTTGTGCGTGGTCTGGCGGGGAAGAGTTACTTTAAAGATGCATCATTTCATACTGGTTTATATGTTTTCTATATGTCACTCCCACTTCCCACACTTCTGTTTGGTTGAGCCTCAATCAATCAAGCCTAGACCTGATGCTTGGTGCACTACAAAATGCCCAAATACGCTAAATAAATTATATAATACCTTATTACATAGTTCTTCTGAACTGAATGGCAATGAAAACAATGTGTCAGTTCAGGTGTGCTGCAGCAGCACTTTGAAATGCCTCGGGCATCTCTGGAGTGAACTCATGTCGGCTCCTAGCGGATGGATCAGGAACTGCAGCAAACTGAGGCTCATAATCTGTGAAGCGCAAGTCACACCAAATATACTCTGATATCTAGCTTTCATCTGTTTAAGCAGAGGTAAAAAAAAAAAAAAAAAAAAAAAGCGGTTCATTGTGTAATTTTTATAGTATTTTTTAAAGTTAATACACCACAGTATTAGTATGAGGAATATAACAAGTTTATATAAAGCAGAAGTAAGTCTGAAAACAGACATATATATGAACCAAATCCACAAAAGTTTCCATAAAGATATCAAAGGAATATGATAGAGCATATATTGTTACCCAAAAAGCTGTAATTTAACCAGTTGAAGAGATGGGAGAATAACATTGTGGAGGACTTGTTTTTTCTGCTGTGAATGTTAGAAACACGTCGCTGTAGCTGTGAGACGGAAATGCCTGTGAGGGCTGATGGATGGACGCTGAGATGAAACACTGGACTATTAAGACTCAGAAGGCAACGCAGTGAAGTTGGTCCCGCAGTGGAAAACGCTCCCTCTCTCTCTCTTTCTCTCCTAAGAGGATAAGCTCGTCCCTTTTTCTCCTCTCACCGTGATTGGACGAGGCTACTTCTTAGGAATGGCATCAAACTATTTAAATAGCACTTTGTCCCCCCTTCGGCTTAAAAAGCTGTATTTTAGCGGTTGACACCGGAGGGAGAAATTTCTATATAACAAAAACTAAAATACAACAAATTCTTTTTGTCAATATTTTCCTTCTTTTCGCAGTGGAACTTTATAAATATATATATATATATAAAAACAACTCGTCACAAATTCATGCTTGGGGATTAATTGTTGGATTTCTCCAGATTTTTCCGGATTTTATTACTTTGGATCTGCTGCTTTAAGCAGGTAAGTGGTAAATATTCTGAGTGAGAGCCATCGCTCTTTGGGCAGCTGTATTTTAGGTGTACATCCTGCTGCAGGCTGACTCTTTCTGACAATGCCATTAATGCTTTAAATTAAAATGGAACTGCTGTGTTTTTTGTGGTTATTTGTCACAGACCGCAGATTTGTCTTTCACCATGAAGCTGCCGGGGATATTTTTGTTATTGATGCTTTGGACCTGCGAGGCTGCGAGAGTCGCAGGTGAGTTTGTCTCAGTTTGAACTGGTTAAAGCTTGTCAGAATGATTCTTGTGGAAGATAAGGAAAAAAAGCTTGTGTTTGTTTTTTGTGTTTGTTTTTTTGTTTTTAATTTAACCTAAGACCCCAACTCTTCCATGGCATGACTTTTTTGATTTCTCTTTGATATTTGGGCTGATTGGGACCCAATGAATGTAAAAACAAAGAATTACCAGATTTTTTGTTTTACCGGATTTTTGTTTCTAAGAAAAATGAGAGCCACTTATGAGGATATTCGTTTAAAATTTCGATAGAACAGTAGCAGTATAATGTCTTCGTAAGTGGATATCAGGCCGTTGTAGAGCAAAATTTAATATTTTTGGTCTAAATAACCCAAAATGTGATGCCCACATATGTGGACGCCAGGTCCTAGGAGGTTAAAAAAACAGAATATAAAGGAGCTGGTATGGCTTTAAAAACGTTTTGCAGTACTCTAAAAGTGAAAACAATAGAAATCCAGCGCCTCACAAAGGCTGACTTATTGTTATTCACCCGCAGAGAGTCGAGACGACAATAGCGTGTATGACTTGTTTGAGCTCGTCAAAGTCCCCAGCAAGAACCACGGGGTGACCCTGGTGAAAGGAGACGACCCGTACAGCCCCGCCTACAAGATCCTCAACCCGGACCTGATTCCCCCGGTCCCCGAGAACTCGTTTAGGGACCTGATCGATTCCATCCATGCCGAGCGGGGTTTCCTCCTACTGCTCAACTTTAAGCAGTTCAGACGCACCAGGGGAAGCCTCCTGACTGTGGAGAAGAAGGATGGAGCCGGACCCGTGTTTGAGGTCGTCTCAAACGGAAAAGCGAACACCTTGGACATTGTTTTCTCCACCGAGAACAAGCAGCAGGTGGTTTCCATCGAAGATGTGGGTCTGGCTACGGGTCAGTGGAAAAATATCACGTTGTTCGTGCAGGAGGACTGGGCAAAGCTGTACGTGGGATGCGATGAGGTGAACACCGCTGAACTGGATGCGCCAATTCAGAGCATCCTGACGCAGGAGACTCCGGCCAGCGCGCAGCTCAGGGTTGGCAAGGGAGCCGTGAAGGACAAGTTCACGGTGAGAGCTGAGAGAATGGAGCAGCATATGTCAGGAAGGAATTTCTTTTCAAATACTTTGAGTGTGATGAACTTTTCGAATTGTGTACCGGTGCTTAAACTGCACACTGATACTTGCAGGGGGTCCTACAAAACGTGCGGTTTGTGTTTGGAACGACTCTGGAAGCTATTCTACGCAACAAAGGATGCCAAAGCGGTGAGTACTCGAAGTGTTTACCAATCACTCATCTGCTCCATGCACTCTCAAGTGCGAGCAATTCCTTATCAAAGAAATCTGCGTGTACTCCGTTTGTCTGCTGATTTCTGTACCAAACACTGCCCGAGAAGCTGTTTACGAGATGCCAAAAAGGAATGCCAGTTTACAAATATCTCAGAGCTCTGTGGTCTCACAGTATGTTCTCCAGCCTATGCAGAATGAACTAATTACTTTTTTGCATAATTTACTGCTGCAGGGCATTATGCGCGACCTTATTAATTAATATATTACCATTGAAATAGTATACTGATTCACAGCAGTATTTCTCTTTCAGCCATGACTGACACCATGGTCCTGAGGAACCTCAATGGCTCCTCGGCCATCAGAACTGAGTACAGTGGCCATAAGACTAAAGGTAGGCATTGCTGCATCTGATGCACTCAGTCTGCAAACTTTTCTAAACTATATGAGAATTAAATAATTTTAATCTGAAATAAAAAATTAAGTATGTTTTTCTCACTGTTATGTATTCTGGTGAAGACCTGCAGATGGTGTGTGGCTTCTCCTGTGAGGACCTGCTCAGTATGTTTAAAGAGCTGAAGGGTCTTGGTGTGGTGGTCAAGGAGCTGTCCACTGAACTCCGCAAGCTGGTAAGGAGCAAACCCAGAAGACAGTGTAGAAGAAGTAGAAGTGACATCTGCCTCTTTGCTGGTTATCTGTTTGCCTGTGTGTCAGATGTGTGTACAGTTGTCTGTATTTTAAGCAAAGGAGATACGGAGCTCTTAAATATTTGTAAAGCTCTGCACTGTGATTGAAACTTGAGAAGGCATCTGACAGAAAATCATCTGTAATTTCAGCAAATCAGTATCAGAAAAACTGCAAATGGTTTTTACTGTGTAGTTTTACTGTTTATTACTCTGTACATCATATAATTATTTTCCTCTTTGCTGACACTGAATTTGCTTACCTCCTGCATTTCTTCAGAATTGTATCTCTGTTACTTTGCGAATTTTAAAATGGGCTTCACATTTTTTCTCTTTTAACAACCAAGCTAACAACTCATTATCGTAAGTCTATTTTTCTTGTTTCTCTTTTCCTCAGACGGATGAAAACAAGCTTATTAAATCCCACATTGGAATTCACAGTGGTGTCTGTATCCACAATGGCATCGTTCGCAAGAACAGAGACGAGTGGACCGTGGATGACTGCACCGAGTGCACTTGTCAGGTGAGATCTCCACAGCACTCCCACCAGTGTACTTAAACACACGTGTGAGGAGGACTTACTCAATGCTCTGACTTCTCTTTACATGTACACACACACAAGCACACACGCTATGATGACAGCCCACAATGGACAGACACACTTAACCACAACACAACTGATCTGGTCAGTAATTAGTGAGTAGTGTGGCGACTGGGCAGGAGGCCAACAGTCTTTATTGTTGTAATGACAGGTCTGCTGTCAGAAGTTCAACTTGACTGTGGCCTTGAGGGGCTTGAGGGACTTAAGTGATCCGTTGCCCATAATTAAGAACAAGACCTTGGCTTTGACAAGTGGACAGGAGGATGTGGATGTAAAATACTTGGGAGGAAATCTTCCCGCATTTCACCAGTGGGTTCATTTGCTTATTTCTCCCTGTGCAGATAGACTACTTCTTCCAGGTTCCGCTTTTTTCCCTGTCAGTGATCAGTTCCTGGAGGGAGAACATTAGCATGCATAGTCAAAAGGCAGTTCTTATGCCTGAGTCATTCATAGTGAACCCACACAGGTTGTGCTGGCAGGCTGGCTTTACTTGTTCGGGGCTCTGTGCCCAGTCCGGCTCCATGCTGAAACCCATATCCATTATTAGGACTTTGGCCTCTTTCCCACCCTCCCCTGACCTAGTCGGCAGGTGTTGGCTGCAGGGGTCCCCGTTCTCAGCCAGAACTCTTGCTTCTTACTCATTCTTCCATGTTTAAACTCACATGACCAATAGTGGATTTAATGAGATGGTTGCACGTACATGGGCGAAGCCTCGATTAAACACTCATCTTCAAACATGCACTAATTTAAATGGATTTAAACAACCCCACAAACTCCACATTAGTGACGCCGTTGTGAAGGGTCCAGTGTTTCAAATTCCATTCAAGCACTGGGACTTGACTGAGTGCCTGGACTGAATTTGGAGAAAAATTGCAGCAAAACTTGAGTGATATCCAAATATTTAAACATGAATTTGATCTCTGTGCTTTTGCAGAACTCTGCTACTGTGTGTCGCAAGATCTCCTGCCCCCTGATCCCCTGTGCTAATGCTACTGTTCCCGATGGAGAGTGCTGCCCACGCTGTGGAACACGTAAGCATTTCTAATCTACGATCTCCAACACATTTTGTTATGACCTGCATAGCTATACAAAGACACACTGTAATTAAAATAATTATAGGTATGCAAACCTGCACTATAAATGTTACATTAATGGTCCACATAGCGTAAAGTGTATGACATTTCAGCTAACACTGTACCATTCCCTGAGCGAGCTGTTTCTATTTTAGTTGCCATATAAAACAAAAAACCACAAATATTTCCCTTGATGTAAAGCTTTCTCTTCATTAGAAAAAAAATGCTAGTTTTAAAGATGATTTAACTGCATTAGTATGAAAGGGTGCTTATGTGTTTGGAACATTGGCGCTTTGTGCTCTAAAACATCTTTGAATCTTCAAGTTGAAATGGCTGCAATTTGCCAAATTGGTTAAAGGGGAATGGAAAATTGGTTTTCTGTTTAGTGAAGCCATCTTTTACATGAGGTGAGGTGGCATGTTCTTCATACCTTGGCAGACTTGGCTGCGATGCTTCCCTAAAACCTAAGTAAACATTGGGAGCCACATTCATCCCGGCCTCAGCCACTTGCTGAAGTCATTACAGACCCAGGGCCATGTTTTCAAAAGCTGTTTCCTCTTTGGAAAACATAAGCCAGTGGGGCATCCCTATCCATCCTGAGGACAGGAGGCCTTTCTATTTCTCCAGTTAGTCCTCTACGTATGCTCACAACAGCTGTGTCTCCCAGCTAAATCCAGACTATTAGTCCACTGCTTTTAGAGCTTCCCCTCCTCATTTAAGGTTAGGGGCTGTTTGCGAGGGGGTGCTGCTTCGCTGCAATAGCTCTTTTATTGTCTCCCTCTTCGCCTCCTTCTCATATTCTCTCCCTCTCCCTCCTGCTCAGCGAGCGACTATGCAGAGGACGGCTGGTCGCCGTGGTCTGAATGGACCCATTGTTCCGTGTCATGTGGGCGTGGCATCCAGCAGCGTGGGCGCTCTTGCGACCGTATCAATAACAACTGTGAGGGCACCTCTGTGCAAACCCGAGACTGTTACCTCCAGGAGTGTGACAAGCGCTGTGAGTTAACTTAACCAACAACAAGAAAAGACAGAAAATATGTGTGACTTTTTTATGATTTAATGTCACCGTGGTTCAACTTTTTGGCTCTTGATAACTGATCTCTGACCTTGTTTTGTGGCCTTTAGTCAAGCAGGACGGCAGCTGGAGCCACTGGTCACCATGGTCATCATGCTCGGTCACCTGTGGTGCTGGTGTCATCACCCGAATCCGCCTCTGCAACTCCCCAACTCCTCAGCTAGGAGGCAAGGACTGTGTTGGAGAAGGCCGGCAAACTGAAACATGTACAAAGTCCCCGTGTCCCAGTAAGTTTCTTCATACTACAGTTGGATTTTGCTACTGTGTAAAGCAAGAGAAGACGTTGATCATGCTTTCTTCATGTCTTCATCAGTCAATGGCAACTGGGGTCCCTGGTCTCCCTGGGATTCATGCAGTCTCACCTGCGGAGGTGGTCAACAGACTCGGAAACGCCTGTGCAATAATCCTGCACCACAGTACGGCGGTAAAGAGTGTGTCGGTGAAGCCAAGGACATCCAGAGGTGCAACAAGACCCCCTGCCCAATCGGTGAGGCATTTTATCATTTAAAGGAGTTTTATGTATTCCATGTATTTGGTATTTTTTATTATTCATGTTTTTAAAATTTAGTCTTTACAACATTATTGTTGGCATCCACTTCAATGTAGGTTTTATTTATTGAAGTTTTTTTTTAAATATACGTAAGTGTACCATCTCAATGAGAGATTAGGATTACTAAGATTAAAAGCAGGTTACATATGAAGGATTTTGATAATGATGACTGCATTGTTGTGTTCAGATGGATGTCTGTCCAACCCTTGCTTTGCTGGTGCCAAGTGCACAAGTTTTCCCGATGGTTCCTGGAAGTGTGGGAAGTGCCCAGCAGGATACACTGGCAATGGGATCAAGTGTAAAGATATTGATGAGGTAAAACTTCTTCAGCTGTTGTTCAATGATTAAAGCAGCTACAGTCATATATTAGAATTCAGGCAACATCGCAACCATAACTGTGATTCTTTTTTTTATCCTGAAAACAGTGCAAAGAGGTTCCTGATGCGTGCTTTGAGTTTAATGGGGTGCACCGCTGCGAGAACACCGTTCCAGGCTACAACTGTTTGCCCTGCCCAACTCGTTACTCAGGACCCCAGCCGTTTGGCCATGGTGTGGAGCAGGCCGCTGCTAATAAGCAGGCAAGTAGATTCCTGTTAGAAGCCAAAAACAGAACAAGAGAGACAACATTTATTAAACAAATACTGATAACAGGGAGAGGTCATACTAATGTGTTGTGATGAATATGTGCCTCTAAGGAGAGAATGTCATGAATTTAAACTATGCAGAGCTCGTCTCACCACTGATATTCATCTCATCTTCAATCTACAGGTGTGCTCACCCCGTAATCCCTGCCTTGATGGAAGCCATGACTGTAACAAAAATGCCCGCTGTAACTATCTTGGACACTTTGCTGACCCCATGTTCCGATGTGAGTGCAAACCTGGTTATGCTGGCAATGGCCATATCTGCGGAGAGGACACAGATCTGGATGGGTGGCCCAATTCAGATTTGGTGTGTGTCGAAAACGCCACCTACCACTGCAAAAAAGTATGTAGTAGCAAAGCAGCTGCAAAGAAATGTCAATGTTTTTGCAGAGTTAAAGTGAAAATATCTAAATATTGCTTATAATGGCTGAGACTGACTCTGTTGTTGTTCATTCAGGACAACTGTCCCAACCTCCCGAACTCAGGGCAAGAAGATTATGATAAGGATGGCATTGGAGATGCTTGTGACAATGATGATGACAACGATGGTATTCCTGATGATACGGTAAGTAAACATTTCCAGACAGGAAATAAGATTGTACAAGGAATAAGTGTGAAACGGTGCCTGTGCACATCTTTTTGCATTCATCACGTTGTCTAATAAGAGGACAGGTGGAGATGGGGGTAGGGTAGAGGAGGGTGGCGCTCAAAAGAAAAACAAATGTTTCTCCCAAGGCTGAGCCAAAACCTCAAATTCCAATGCTGAGGTTCTGAAGGAGCTGCGCTGTGTGCTGCTAATCCCAACATTTGATGCAGGAGAGAGCCTACAAATAAAGCTGCTTTTCATCCTGCATCACTCCCTCCCTGTAAATGGGCAGGGAGGGAGTTGGAAATTACAACCGCAGCACCTTAAAAACTGTCATTGACTCTTTCTCTAACACTGCGTTTTTCTCTTTTTCAAACAGGACAACTGTCCTTTTGTGTACAATCCCAGGCAGTATGACTATGACCGTGATGATGTGGGTGACGGCTGCGACAACTGCCCCTACAATAGCAACCCAGACCAGACAGACACCGACAGCAACGGAGAAGGAGATGCCTGTGCAGTGGACATTGATGGAGATGGTGAGACCTGCAAACAAAAAATAATCAGCATAACTCTTAGACAATACTTTTATATTTTCTGCTTTTGTGCTGCCTTTTCATCTAATTTATTTCCGTTTATGCCAGGCATACTGAATGAGAAGGACAACTGTCCCTATGTGTACAATGTTGACCAGAGAGACACAGATCTGGATGGAGTGGGAGACATGTGTGATAACTGCCCACTAGAACATAATCCTGATCAGGTGTGTAAAAGCAAACACACGCATTGCTGTTACCCATTTGCTTCAGTCTTACCCGGCAACAATAATCCACATTCATCTCCCGGGCTCTCTTTTATATCTCCCTTTCAGTCAAAGCAGGCTTCAGTAGTTGCTGAAGCATTATCATGGCATGTAAAAGGTGGAGTAAATCCTGTATGCAGCTGAAGGGCACATTAGTTCAGTAAGGCGTGGTGGGGGGCTAGGGGTCTTTTCAATGACCCATTGACATTAGCTGGAGAGGCCCCAGGCTGGATATTACTAAGGAATGGGCTTGCCTTGGGCTATATGTGTGCTCTGTCTTAGTCCTGCTTAGTCCACCTGTGCCATGCTACACTGAGAAAGAGGAATGTGTTAAACAACAGGAATTAGGAGAAGAATAGGGGAAGGAGGGGAAGTCTAAACTGATGTGCTTTTTAAAGAGTGAAGCGCACAATTAAAGGCCAAAAGACACATGTTCAGACATGAATGCAGCTGTTATTTGGTGGTGTGTAGAGTACAAGTAAGCTAATACTCAATTTTTCCCATAAACCAGATCTAACTAGGATGTTTAAACACTCTAATTTTGCAGTTGGATTCAGATGATGACCGCGTGGGAGACAAGTGCGACAGCAACCAGGACATTGATGAGGATGGACACCAGAACAACCTGGACAACTGCCCGTATATTCCCAATGCCAATCAGGCTGACCATGACAAGGACGGCAAAGGTGACGCCTGTGACCATGATGACGACAATGATGGCATCCCTGATGAAAAAGACAACTGCAGGCTGGCGTTCAATCCTGATCAGCTGGACTCTGATGGTGAGCAAAGTTGGACATGGATACATCTAAGCAGTTTTATGCTGGAACACATATATCTATACACCCTGGGTATCATTATTATTATTAAATAATTTGGAATATGTATTTTTCAGGTGATGGCCGTGGAGATGCTTGCAAAGATGACTTTGATCAGGACAATGTGCCTGACATCTACGACGTGTGTCCCGAGAACTTTGACATCAGTGAGACAGACTTCCGCAAGTTCCAGATGGTTCCTTTGGATCCAAAAGGCACCTCCCAGATTGATCCTAACTGGGTCGTCCGCCACCAGGGCAAAGAGCTGGTTCAAACTGTTAACTGTGACCCTGGCATTGCTGTTGGTAAGTACCAACAATTTCTCTGGACCAAATGTGTAACTTTGCAAAGACTAACAGGAAAGTTTCTTTTTTATTCAATTCTTTTCGTGACACCTTTTCAACCTGTTTTTGTTCAGGCTATCATGAGTTCAATGCAGTGGACTTCAGTGGGACTTTCTTCATCAACACTGACAGGGATGATGACTATGCCGGCTTTGTGTTTGGCTACCAGTCCAGTTCCAGGTTCTATGTAGTGATGTGGAAGCAAATCACACAGACCTACTGGTCACATAAGCCAACTAAGGCACAAGGTTACTCTGGCTTGTCCATCAAAGTGGTTAATTCCACCACCGGCCCAGGAGAGCACCTCAGAAATGCCCTCTGGCACACAGGCAACACCCCAGGACAGGTACATTGGACTTCTGTTCTTTCATGGACAATTTAAACATTTATTTTTGATAATCAAACCTAAATAAAATAGAAAAACTCATGTCTTTTATTTATTTTTTTTCACACGCTTTAGGTTCGCACTCTCTGGCATGACCCAAAGAACGTTGGATGGAAAGACTTCACTGCCTACAGATGGCATCTGATCCATAGGCCGAGAACAGGACACATTCGGTGGGCAGAAAATAATTTTGAGTCTGTAGGTAGTTACCCTTCATGAGTTTGGCATTCAAATGTCTAATTTTTCCTTGATTTCCACAGAGTTGTCATGTATGAGGGTAAGAAGATCATGGCTGATTCTGGTAGCATCTATGACAAGACATATGCAGGTGGAAGGCTAGGTCTTTTTGTCTTTTCACAAGAGATGGTATACTTCTCAGACCTCAAGTATGAATGCAGAGGTAAGTTTTATTTGAAAACCACTAAAATTGACATTGTTCTATTAAAATGGACTCTAGAATTAAAGACATTAAACAAACCCTCTGCAATCTCTTCATGTTATGTCTCTTCCTTTTGACAGATGCATAAATGTACGGCGCAGGAAGCTCTGAGGAATGCACCTTTTTGTATAAAGTATGAACTTCTATATTCTCATGCAAAGTCCAGGGACCGATTTATTGCCGCAACTCTTTCTTTTTGGGCATGCTCACTCAGACTGGGCTAAGGGCATATGGTTAGCCTCAGGGTAACTTGAAGCCGGTTTGGGAAGAAAACCAACCAGCTGAATGCCATTTGAGGATCAGAGAGCCCCTTCTCCACCACCATCCTTAACATCTATAAGAGCAGGGAGAGGTGAAAAAAACCCCAACAAAGCCTGTAGGTCACCAACACCTTTCTATCCGCTCTGCCTGCTTTACCCGCTCTCTGAAAGACCTCATTCATCTCTGTACAGAAATGGCTCCTCATAAACAACTATGCACTTCCAAGTCTTTACGTCTCTCTCTCTCTCTCTTTCTATCTCAGCTCTTCAGCCTTTTCTGCCTCACTTTCTAGATGGACTTCCCAAAGAAATAAAGAAGAATATTTCCTTTGCCTTACCAGTCTGACCAGGATGTAGATCCTGGACAATACAACTTATGAGGACTCAAAAAATGAAGATGACATTTTGTAGGAATTTTTGTTGTTAATGATTTAAGAAAACTGTTGAGAGGGGAGCAAGTTAGAAATAAGGGGAATATGATGCTGTGGATAAATGTTTGTATGCATGTACAGAATGTATGTGGAAGACTAACCATGAATGGAACAAGAACGTTCTTTCATCTTCTACCCTAGGGTAGAAGAACTATGAACTGTGTTTGTCTCAATTTGAATACTTCCAAGAGTTCCAAGTAGCACAGTACGTACACTGCATACTTACGTAATGCATGAATTCCGACAAAGTTGTCTCAAACTGAACATGCTAAAACATGTTCCTAATAGAAAAAAACAGTTGCATTTGATGAGTTAGCTAACATGTTTTGTAAAAATTTGCAACTTCTTGAACCTTTGGTGATTCTTTTAATACAGAATTACTCAACAGTGAAGATTACAGTTCAATTTAACATACCTAAACACCAGACAAATCCATAACATGCACTGTTTGGTGTAAGCTAGAAAAAAAACTGTTTTTTCTAGCTTACACTGTTAGCTAGCTAGCTGGAATTGGAGATAGCTAGCGGGTGAGAAATGTACAGCATTTCATATTGATCTTCTGACTGTTTTGAGTATCCTATCTGGGTACTTGTGCTCTTCATGATGCCATATGTGAGCGTTTTGTCACACTTGCCTTATGGAAGTATGCGATGCAAGACAGCACTGGTTTATGTTAACTATCATTTACATACAGGTATTGTTGGTTTTTTTGATGTCATCTGGTTGTCTTAACAACTCTCAGGATTAGATGGAGATAATTATATTTTATAAAAAGTTGCTTGAGTCTATAACCACATAGTCAAAATGTCTTCCAAAATACTCCCTATATCAGATCCTAACTGTAGAAATCGAAGAGATTTAGCCCCCTCAACCTGTAGGGGGAATTTGCTATGAAATAATGTAAATACATCTAATTTATTGATTTTTGCCTACAGTGTAGGCAGTAAACAAAATTTTTGTACTTTGAAAAAGTAAAAGTATCCTTCCAATCACAGTGAAAATTGACCCCAAATCAGGTACGCTTAGATACAGGATGCATAACATTGTCGTTGTCTTTTATCTCCAGAATTCGTTACTCTTCAGACAGGGCTATTTAGCATGAAGTGTATCTGATCTGTGTGCCTTTTCTTCAGAGAGAGATGAAAAACAAAGGAGATCGTTGATGTACAATTATTACCTCATTGCTGTTGTATAATTTGATCAAACAAAAACATAAGTACTTCTTCGTATTCCTTTGAAATGATTGACATCTTAGTGCTACTGTAGCATGAGCTGTAAATAATATAACATGACATAGCTACAAATACAGCAGAGCTCCCAATCCCATGATTTACTACAGTGAAAATTATAAGAAGGTGGGATATTTCTTATATTTTTATTTTTATTTTGCTTTATCACGTATGTCCAATGCGTCCAATGTTTTTAGCAGATAAATTATTGTCCTGTCTTGTCTCTGGTTTGTGAGACGCTGATTTTGTGTGTGTGTGTGTGTGTGTGTGTGTGTGCACGCGTGTGTTTGTAGAAATTTGCTATTTAAATAATTTATCAGGATTTGCTGCCTTATTAAGGGGCACATGTCCATCTGTATAAACGGTTTGCACACTGACGTGAGGATGTTATGTTCTTTATTGTTTTTATCTTTTTTGTTATTGTGTATCAATGTTACCAATATTTTTGTACAATTAGTTTTGCTTGTCTGTAAACATTTTCATAGTTGTACAAAGCAAAATGCTGTTTTTATTCATCACAACTATTTTGTTATGTATTTTAAGACAATAAATAGTTGTTAACATTCTCATTACTTTATTGTTTTTCATGCCATCTGGCATTGATCAATCCACGATTTATGGAGAGCAGTGACTCTCACAAACAAAATCCATCAAAAACGCAAGTAGATTTTATCAGATCTATAGATTCAGCGCACAGCAATCAAAATTACTCACAGTCGAATGTTTGCCCTACTTTCTCAGAAGCACAGATAGACTTGTACATTCCGTCATCTCGATGATCAAGGCCTCATGAGGAATGTGGCGCAGGTGTCTCCTCCTTAGTTTGATCTGTGTGACCTCTTTTTCTATATGCAAATATTAGGTTGACACAAACCTTGACATTGACTGAAAGGCATTATATACGTGTGTGCTGAATTTGTTATATTGTTGTTATTTTGTAACTGCTGATTTCTGAAAACCTGAGCCCCCCCCAAAAAAACAAAAAAACAAACTAAGACCAGGAGTAAAAGGACACCAGGATGTTAGAAATAAAAGGGCGTTTAAAAGTTTGCTACCTGAATGCCAGTTCAAAAAAATAAGCTCTTTTTGAACTTTTGTAGTCGACTGAGCTTGTAGATCATGGATCAGAGGGCAAAGAGTTTCAAGGTGTAGGGCAACATCTGCAAAGGCTCTGACACCTTTAGTTTTTAGACTTAAGGATGGATAACCAGCACTGAATAGAAGACCTCAGAGTTCAAGGTGACATATGGCTGCAAAAGCTTGCTAATGCATGTCTCCTAAAAATGAAAACATACAGGTAATTTTTCAAGTGCACTTTACAGTTCAGATTGACTCAGGTGAAATACAACAAGAGCTCAGTGACTTCTAATGACTGGTGTCATGCAGAGTGATGCCTTCTGACTTAGACTTTCCGTTGATGTTTGAATTCCTGTGACTTAGGCCGTTGAGCTACAGTGGCTGCATAAGACATATGCAGAATAAGACAGAATAAGACAGGCCAGACATAATTGTGTTTAGATATGATTATGGAGATCATTTTATGGCAAATAGAATGACTCTTTATCCTGTTGCAGTCAAATGGAGAGAAGCAAATATAAATTAACTGGTTACATTTCAACATTTCCCTTAAAACAAAAGGAAGCTGATTATGAACTCCTTCTTGTTAACTTAGGCCAGCATTGTAATAATCCATAATAACCTAATGTGGCAATATTAAAGACCAGACATCCTAATACTGGCTGCATTTTTCACAGGTCTCTGTCAGCTGCCTACAAACACCCACATGTTTACTTTACGGCCTATTTTAAGCTGTACATCCTGCACACAGTTAACAGAGTTAACACATACCAGTTTACAGAAAACTCCGTAAATTCTGTCTTAATGTCTTATCACTAATATCTTCCTTTAAACCATGAATAAATTATATCACATCTCTTACTTGGGGAAACTGATAAGATAGGCAGTACAATCATGTATTGGTTTGTTACCTCACAGAAAAAAAAGACTCACTAATGACTTCTTTCTGTGTGGGGTTTTTCTGCCTGTTATAGTATGTGTTTCTTCCATGTATTTTAGCTTCACCCTCCAAAAACCCCCACAAACGTTGGATTCACTGATGTTTCTAAAACTGGATGTGACGTAGTTAAAGCGTTTGAAGTAGACACATATCAATGTCTGGGTTAGCCCGCTTGGCTATTTGAGGTTTACTTTGTTAACTGGTAATTATGGTGTGATTCAGGTCATTTTATGGAGAAATGTGAGCGTAATGTATAAAAAGTTGTGTTACAAATTATTTTCTCTGGGGAGTAATTAAGTAACACAATGCATTATTCTTAAGAACAGTAAGAAGTAATGTGTAATGCATTACTTTTTTCAATAACAACCCCAACACTGAACACAAATAAGACGGGAAATACCTTCAACATGCATAAACATTTGGCCACACTGCACACATACAATTTGCACAAATATGTATGTGTATGATATGCTGCTTAGAGATGGTGTCTGTGAAGGTTCTCAGTCATCCAGGTCATCGTAGTCTAAGGAGCTTGGAAGAAAAAGCTTCTGGACTTTAGTTGCTTGAAGTTGAAACGGAGATGGTTCCTATAATCCGATAATTTCCTTGATTCCTTTTCATACTCCCGCACCAGTTGAAGGGTGTTCCTCCCAAAATGTACGGCAATATGTCTGTGAAGGTTCTCAGTCATCCAGGTCAGATCAGTCATTCAAGCAACTTAAAGAAGTCCAGAAGCTTTTTCTTCTAAGCTCCTTAGACCTTAGAGATGGTGGTGACTCTCCAAGTGGAGCCAGTGAGACAGTCAATAAGAATTCTAATTGATAAGTCATTTATCAATTCCCATTCTTTTTGATTTGCTTTGGTGTTTGTTCCAACATGATTTCTGCAAACCCTGCTTTTGAACGAATATCCATCCATCAATCTATCCATCCAATAAAGTACCTTTAGACTGTTTTGTCTTAATTTCTAATGAGTCAAGAGTACTCTTCATTATTTTTTAATAAAGAAGATTTTATTTCTTTATATATATATATAAAACAAAAACTTCAGGATAAGAAGTGGTAAATAAATTTCAGATGAAGTCTTTTTTTTGCTTTGTTTTTCTAAACTCTTTTTTGTGTGTTGTCATCATAATTTCATAAGACAGTGAAGTTTTATATAGGAAAGAGGAAGCACACAGCAATGGGACCTGGATTGAACTCTAATCCAAGCCACTGCATTGAGCCTTGCACCATATGGTTACCTGCTTGACTAGAGCTGAGCATACACCCTTGTCCTTGCATTGGCGTGCTGATGTGAGTTATGCTTTGTTTTTGCAGTCTTTTATGAGGTTCTTTAGGGACGGGTCAATCGGGTCTGGTTTTTCCAGAACTCAGAAGTTTGAATTTACATGTTCTCCTTATGTTTGTGTTGAAAATTTTTTCTAAAGCTCAAACTCATGTATTTATAGTAATCGTAAATCTGGGTTAGCTATGAAAGCTGGGATTGGTGGACCAGAACCTATCCTAGCTGTCATACGGTGAGAGGCAGGGTACACCTTAGATAGGTTGACAGTCTATCACAGGGCTAAGACTGAGAGATGCACAAGCATTCACACTCACATTCATGATTTAGAATCATCAGTGAACCTAAAGTGGGTGTCTTGGTCAGAGATTAATCAAATAGCTCTTGTTAGACTTAAATGAGCTGAAGCAAGATGATCTGCAAGTGCTAAAAGTTTTCCAGACAGACCAGATCTTAACTGGTAGTCCTGCAATTGCAAACCAGTTCAGTCATTAGTAGCCACCCACTCTCCTCAAATAATGACAGGCCAAATCTGTATCCCTCAATTTGCTCACAAACCTTTAATGTGTGAGCAAAAAGTAGTGAATAATATGCTGATGAATGGAACAAAGGGCATCCACCCTGAAGTTAAAAATGCCTTTTTTTAGCTCATGTAATTCATCCACCTAATTGGAGAGACTGCACCGCATTTGCACAACTGCCACAGCTAGCCTCAAACCTCAAACCTGAAATGTTACATTTGATCTGACCTCACTCGTCCTCCTTCTGTCATTCAGCACCTCTCTGCTTCCTGCTGCTGTGTACAGAGGTGTTGGAGTGTTATTTTAAGATGGAGGACCCCCCACTGAATACTGTGGTATTTCCCCACCATCCACCTCCTTAAGTACAGGAGCTGCAGGATGCCACCTGTGCATACAGTATTCGAGACTCAAATAGGAAGAAAATAACATGATCTCGAACAATAAAGGCTCAGTGAAAAATAGATCTGGGATGTGGTTTAGTCAAAGCATTTTCTTGCCATTATAGTTACGTGGGTGTGGAGGGTGGGATCAAAATAAAACCCCAATGACACCTGCACTCTACTATTTGTGAGAACAAAAAATAGCTGCAGGCACCATATCTGGTCAAGTCATCACTTTAATCACTCCAGAGGTTGTGCAACATCTGGACTCATCTATGATGAGTGATATGATACATCAAATGGCTGAAGCATTCACATGCAAAGACCCACAGACAGTCTGGCAGGAACAAAGAGGTAAGTCCAACTCAGTGCTTGTTCTTTTGCGATTCATCACAACAAAGTATTATTATTATTAGTGTTAGTATAATAAAATGATGCTTACTTTTACATTAATTACAATGACCTTCACATACACTGCATTTAACTTAAGAAGGACAGCATCGACCCTTATATAATTATTGTTAGCAGAGTGTTGTTGCCCAGGTGGACAAATGTTCAAATGTTTACCCAAAGGTTTCTAATTTATAATCATATGAGTCAAAGAGGCGCAAAAAATACTGAAAATGTCTTGCAGTTTAGTTTTACGAATGATAACACTAATTAATATATTACACAAATTGTCTTTGGTCAATAACCACATACTTGAATGTAGTCTATCTTTGTTTTAAAAGATTTGCAAACACCTTTATAAGATAAACCGCTGAAGCTCAAATGGTTCCACTCTCTGTAATACCAGTGTTGAAGTGTCAGACAGCTGGATGTCACATGAGGGGTCATTTTATTATAACACACTCTGGGACACTCAGTGGAACAGCCAGGATTTTCTGATCTTTGTGTTTTCCAAATCAGAGGCTCTGCAGCAACTCAAAACCACAACTCTACAAAGGTTTTATGAGAACTAAAACAATCATGGCATCAGTCAAAGAATTTCTTTTATTAGGTCAGATTTAGTGACATAACTGCCGTCTAATCACATAAACACTTTGGCTACGTTTCTATAATTCCTCTCTCTAAGCCCTCATAAAGTAATTCCCCATAGAGAACAATGCGCTTCCTGTGATTTTTGGCAGACATGATGGGATTCCTGGCTAGGATGTGCTCTGACCTCTGACCCCTGAGCTGACTGCATCTGGTGAACTTAAACATGCAGCAAATATTTTGATGGAAAAAAGGTGACCTTCATCATCTTTTGACGCATGTCAACAGGTTTAAAAAAATTCATAATTAGATGATGGTTAATTAAATATAAGTTACAATTGAAAAACTATAAGGGGGAAATTTTAGTTCATTTTCATACCATCCATTATAAT